GTATACAGTACTTACAAATTAGTATTATTTCTCTTGTGTATGATTTTTTTTTCGCACAGCGTGGAATCGTACAAACTTCGTTTAGAGACCCACGTCTTATCTTCACTTCATTTTTCTCCCATAACCTTTTGGCCAACATCTACTTCTGTGCTGATCCCTCCTGGCCAGCAAAGCTGGGACCTGCTCTTTCCAGAGTATGTCAGCACACCCCTTGGCGTGAGCTGCAAGCATTGCTACCGAGCGACGTGGCACAAAGGGAATGGCTACGCTGCAATTAAACAGCAGAAGCTGGCCTATGCCAGCTGACTCAGGCTTGGGTGTCTAATTGCAGTGTAGACAGACCCAAAGTGCTCCTGCAGTCCAGGGGCTGAGTGCATTGTCAGCCACCCTCAGCTAACCTGCTGTCATTCCTGTGCTTTGTTGTACTGTCACTTGGTGGCTAGGCCAGCCTCTGTTAACAGGGGTGTAGTTTACCACGTGTGGCATTATACTCTGATTCTTAGATGAAGGGTCCAATTCTCGGACAGCATAAGTCATTGACTTCAATGGTTAGAAGCAGAAAATTTCCCTTCCCCACCTTAAAAAAATGGTCATTTTAAATTGAGGCAAGTTCTTTCCACTCTGGTAGCATTTCCTGACAGGGAGGAATACGCCACCGACTTCTTTCAAGAATAGATGAGTATAGGTCCTTTTGTCCCCCAAACACCAAAGTGCTGAAAAAACCTGTGGCTTGATTCTGCTACCTGGACTCCTGCTGAGTTGCACTGTTGTCTCTCTTTGTCTGGAGCAGCAATCTGAAGCCCTGAGGATGCTCCACTGGGAGAGGAAATTGGTGAAAACAAGTATTTCTCTGAGGTCGTTTTTGTTTACAAAGAATGTACCAAGTCCTATGTCTCTGAGTGAGTGGAGAAAATATTAAATAGCAGGAAACCGCTTCTTGGCTTACAGCTCCAAGCCTCTTCAGCCAACAGCTCCAAAAACACTCTCCCTAGTTTTTCCCAGGGTCACTCTCTACGCTAGAGTCGCCACCTCCACCTTTCTAATTGCAGGCAACCGGACTCCGGATGCCCCGCCCCTTCTCCCCAAGGCCACACCCCCATCACTTGTTCCTCTCTCTCCCCCATTACTCACTGGATCATCTCCATATCCCTCCTTCTCTCCCCCTCTGGATCCCCTGCTCTCGGGCTGGGATGGGAGCTGTTGAAACCTGACAATCAACCTGCTTGCAGATAGGAGGAGCCCCAGCGGAACAGGGGCTGGTGCGCGTTAATGACTCGGCGCCGCCTCCTTCCCCGTGGTAACCGGCCTTTTGGTGGCCAGTCAGTACATCTGTCTGGGCACTGCCGGGTCACCTTTTCAGCTGGACTTCCTGGTTGAAAATGGTGCTGCTGGCAACCAGACAGAGAAGCCAAAATCTGGGTTGCCTGAGTAAACCCTGGATGGCAGCCCTACTGTATTCTCCAGCTACTGCTGGGATTGCTTTTTTTTTTTTTTTTTTTTTGTTTTGCCTCTGCTTGCCTCTGTGTTTCATCTGTTCCAAACTCTCTCTCTCTCTCCATAGCTCTCCTCCGCCTACTCAGTCCAAGCACCTGGGCAGGTTCACAGCTTCCTTTCGTCTTGGGTGCGGGGCTGATGGCGGAGGGGCTTCGGATTAACTCCCCCCAACGGGGATGTTAATTGAAGGGGGAGTTCACATCCAGTCTCAAAGAGGTACCTGACTGAGGCGGTCACCAGTCCCTCTCCACATAACAGTATCTTGGATGGCAGGGGGACTGCTCCCCAGCCGGAGTCGCGGTGACAGAATGGGGCCTTTTGTACATAGTCATCACTGATGTGCAGACATAAGGGGCTTACGACAGGTGACACACAAGAGCCATCGAGCGCTGTTTTGAATAGGACGAGAAGAGGAAGAGCTGAAGACACAGGGGGGGAGACGTAGCCATGCAGCATAAAATTGGGTCAGGAAACGGGTTAATAACGTGACTCCTGTAGCGTCATGGGATCGGTAGTAACCGCAAGTGGTCAGGACAAGACATCAGCCTTGGGCTCCTCTCTCTGACAGCACCTCCAGCAACGCAGCCCCAGATGCTAGTTACTTTGAAGCAGGATTGCTGTCCTCCTGCACGTTGTTGTTTTTCTTGCCATCCGGGCGGAAAGTCAGTGTTGTCCAATGGGCGGGTAAGAACTCACTCAGCTGTGTCTAAAACAATCCCCTGAAACGACCGGCATTGATTGGTGGCTCTGCCCAATCAACAGCTCCCGCAGTCTTGAGGCTTGTTCAAACAAATATTCCCTCCCACTGGCAAGCCTTTGAGCCCTTCCCTTCTTTTGTCCCACCACGCACACCCATCCTGAGGCCCACGACTGTTGGTCACTGGCTCCGTTCTAGTAACAGTCCTGAAGAATGATCCCGATTTGTGCCATTTACGGGGGGAAAGTTGGCTGCGAGTGGTGGGGAGAAACAATGGGAAAGCTGCCTTAAAGCAATGGTGTTTTGCCCTTTTGATTAAAAATTAATCCCAGCAGAGCAGATTCAGAAGCACCGGCTGACAGCAAGGTAAATTACAGCCCTGTGCCTGCCAGTCTCCTTGCACTCCTGCCCTGCTGAGTTTCAGGCTGTGTAATGCCGACGTGAACTTGGAATGAATCTAACACATTCATTAAACTGCTGCACGTTTATGAAGAGGAAATCGGGATTTGAAAAAACCTCCATGCTAAGGCATTCAGTGCATCTGTCCTATTTATTTCGCAATGGCTCTATTCGCCAGTAATATTTACATCACGTTAAACAGGGTGTGCAATGGGTTTTCCTCTTGTAAATGACTGTACTTTTTTGAAAATTGCATGATTAATGTTTCCAAACAAATTTATTTCTTCACATGTAACGTTTCCTCCTCCCCATCATCTTTCCCAATAGACTACTCAGAGGAACCTGTTGCACTGAAGCTTATACAGTCCTGCCTTGAAGAGCACAACAGTTATTGTATTAATGGCCTCTGTGCTTTTCATAATGAACTCAAGAAACCCATATGCAGGTAAATCAATTGTGTGTTTAAATGCATGCCCTTGGAGAAGTAGGCATTTCTATGTGTATTACACTAACTAATATCTCCACAAGTATTCCCTCTAAGTTTTTCCATCCATATACCGAATACATTTTGTTATGTGCACCAAGGCATGTGTGGATGTGCACCACCAATAGAAATACATGCTGTGGGATGTGGGGTGGTGGGCACGCTGCTAATCAGCTGGGTGGCATTTGAATCTCTCCTAAGTGGCTGCCCAAACGCTCAGCTTACAGGGAACATGAGAATCATAGAATCTTAGGGCTGGAAGAGACCTCAGAAGGTCAAGTCCAGTCCCCTGCTCTAGGCAGGACCAATCCCAACTAAATCAACCCGGCCAGGGTTTTGTCAAGCCGAGACTTCACCCCTCCCTAGGTAACCTATTCCAGTGCTTCCCCACCCTCGTAGTGAAATCGTTTTTCCTAATATCCAACCTAGACCTCCCCCACTGCAACTTGAGCCCATTGCTCCTTGTTCTGCCATCCATCACCACTGAGAACAGCCTTTCTCCATTGATCCCAACCTATAATCTGCTCTGCATGCGGGCATCAGTATCACATTCAAGTACTTCCCCTGAAGCCACTGGGCCATGTATACATGCTTCACGTTAGGCGCCATGCAAATCCAGGTTCTCGATAATGAGACCTAGAGCTGTGGGAACACTCTACTCTTGGGAATTAAAGTTTGCTGGAGAAGGCAAAAAGATAAAATGGCTGGAAGCCACTCTTGACACAGTCTGATCTCAGAACTGCAGCACCAAGCTGACGTCTGAAGCTAGGGCATTTGATTTCCATCTGCGCCCATTTTTTTGACTGCTGGGCCCAGGGCAGGGGCCACAAAGGAGCTCTCTGTGGAGCCCTGCAAATCCACAGGTTTTCTGCTTTGCATCTACGCATGTCCGCGTCCGTGGATGTGGATATCGGTGGATCATTTTTGCAGATGCAGATACTACACAGGGCTCCAGATGTCTGGTTCTGGGCATGGTCCTGCACCAAATCCAAATCCAGCTGTGGTGCACTTCAGGGCTTCATAGAGTTGTTATTAGCCACTAGGGATACAGAGACAGCAGCACAGGGTGGCAGCAGCCCCTGTTCAAAAGGATCCGGAGTAGCTCCTGTCTGCGAGGGTCCAGAGCAGCCTCTATCCACAGGGAGCTCAGACCCCCCACCCCCCATGGACAGAGGCTGCTTCACAGCATCCTCCTCTTCCCTGCTCCCCCCCTGCGCTGCTGCCTCTGTTTTTAAGCTGGCTTCTCATACCACCAACTCCTGCCTGCACCTGCTCTTCCTCCCCCCGCCTCTGCAGGAGGCAGCAAGCGGGGGGAAGGGGACTGTGGAGCTGGTACATGCGGGGAGCCTGCTTGAAAGCTGCTCCTCACACATGTTGGCTCCAGCCTGGCCCCCTCCCCCTCCATGTTGCTGCCTCTCTATCAGAGGCAGCAGTGCCGGTGTGAGGGGGCAGGTGCATCCAGTGCTTACGGGGAACCGGCTTTTAAGCCAGCTCCTCTCATGCACCGGCTCCCACTCTCCCCTTGCTGCCTCACAGAGGCAGCAATGCAGGCAGGGGAGTGCGTGGAGTAGACAAGATTAAATGAAAAGCCCAGGCTCCTCGGTTAATCGTGTAGTCGTCTGCAAGCTGATATCCCTATTGGCTACCTTTGGGCCCAATGCTCATTACAACAGCTAGGTGTCGCCAAAAGGCAGTATTCTGCCTCTCGGGGACTCTCAGCAGGCGAGATCCTGCAGCTTCCTGACCTACAGGGTTCTGACTGCAAAGTAGAATCTGCCCTGCCCCTTTTGGCTTCCTTCCACATTGCCCATTGTTTCAAAGCCATCAAAGGGAATAAGCATCTTACAGTTTCAAGTTAAGATTTTCTGGATACTCCTGTGGGTTGCTTTTTTCGTTTTAGGTGCCTGACAGGTTACAACGGAGAAAGATGTGAGCACTTGATATTAAATTCTTATGTGCTTAATTCTTATGACCGCTATATTGCCGTGGGTATTGGCGCTGGAATAGTTCTGAGCGGGATCGTTGCTCTAATCTATTGCTATGTAAGAAAGAGGTATGGAAAGGATATTTTCTTGGCCATGAGGCTTGCTAAGTGCATTTCTAAACTGTGTAGCATACCGAGAAGCGTGTGCATTCTTATGTCAAGGATTTTAGTTAAATATGGTTCCTTTGCATGATATTAATCTGAACAGTCTGACCCATTTGGGGGTATAAAGCAGAGGACTCTGGAGTTTGTCCCTGCCTCTGTCACTCATTCATCCTCTGACCTTAAACAAGTCACTGAATTGCTCTGTGCCTCGGTTTCTCCACCTGGACCATGTAAAATGGTTCTGAAACTGCCCAGCCACGCTGACTCCCTAGAGACTGCGCGAGTAGGATTTGGCTGGATTTCTGTCATGGCAGGAAGTTCTATCCTGGTGCGATTAGACTCACCACATCTGTTATCCCTTTTAGATGCAGGAAGTTGAAATCGCCATACAAAGTCTGAACCGGGGCAGCGACATTGTGAAGCTCTGGCACAGGCCCCTGATGGACGTGACTGTGAATTAGAGGTGGTTCGACGCTGAAAGAACTTCCAGTGCCAACAAAATACTAGCAGGTGCCACGCCTTGCCTGATAACCGGAGACAATGGAAATCAAATAGCTGCTCAGCCTAGCCTTCTTCTGGCTACCCAGGAGCCTACTCTATGGCCCTGGGCCATGTGAATACTGCAGATTTGACAAGTGAGTTAAATGCAATTTGCGTTTCTTTGCCACAGTGGATAAAGGCAAGAAATCTTTGGACTGGGAGATGAGTGAGCACAGAAAAGATAGAATTAAAACGAATGACATCTCTTTTCACATGGACTCTGAAAGTGTACCTTTAACCTAGCAGCTCCCCGCACTCCCAGACTTGTCAGCCAGATGTCTTCTCACCCAGTGATGGACGCTGCTGGACAAGAGGAACAAGACTGGAGCTGCTATAGAAGGAAGCTTCAATTTTGTTGTAACGACCCATTAACACAGTTCTACCCAGCGAGATTGACTCTCATGGAGTATATCGTATTTCACCATCAACGCATGAAATGGACAAAGGAAATGTGCTCAAAATATGACCGTAATATGCTTTGTTTTTCTTCATCACACTCAAAAGATGTCTTCAGATGAGATTTGTTCTGGGGAAATCAAATGGATTCAGAGGACAATGGTTTTTGAAAGACTTTGCAGCTTCGAACCATGGGTTTTGGAATTAAGAGGCTGATCATTTTCAACATTGCTCAGAAGGGGGTTCGTTTCAGGCACACTGTTCATTGTGGATCCAGATTTCAGCTGCATTTAGACCCCTGGGGGGGAGGGAGGGAGGGAAGGCATTCAAGTGCCTAAATGTGTAAGGGCAGATTTGTAGACAGAATTTGCCTTTTGAAAATTGGGCTTTCTTGTGATGGGTATTCACTTTTTCCAAGTGGTGTGTGCCATGTTTTATTTATGTAATGTGCACTAGTGCTCACTGCAAATGATCTAAGAAAAGGTCCAGTTTAAAAGGGGAAATGTGCATTTTGACCACCGTCCTATAGCACGACTTGATTAGAAATGCCAATGTAAAATGAATTTAGTGGCAAGGAGTTTGCCGTTCATTTCCTTTAGGTGTCAGAGAGCATTGCACAAGGTATATTGGTTTGGTTTTCCATAGCCCTGCCTTGCTAGTCTCCATGTTCTCCATGTCCTCGTTAAACACTCTAGCTGTCTTGTTAATTATCTTACATTATTTTTTTTCTATAGTTTGAAGGGCAATTTCTGTTCTCACAATTGTTCTGTTCAGAGTAAATTTATCAGCCTGAATCATTTTCCTTTGGCTTTGTATGTTTGCAGTGGGAGCAAAATTTGGCTCAGAACAATTAAATCATTTGGGCAAATTCTGCATGTTCAAAACCTGTGCTCAGCCTGGAGACACAATGGGTTGGACATTTTTTCACCAATTCTGATCTCTCCCATGAAAATGGCAATGGTCTCACGGGTCAAAGGAAAAAGACCTCATGTTTGTATGGATTTGTCTGTTTACACAGCAATGGTCTATATGTACACACACACATGCCTTATGCAGATTGCACTTGATTTGATCTGTGTCCAGAATTGCTGCATGCCAGAATATAGACCTACATTAACAAGCCTTTTGAAGTATGGATGTTTTGTGTCACGAACACCAGCAACTTATAACCTTAAAAGGTTTACACAGAGAGATGTGCTTTTGTTTGTTTTAACATCCTGGCTGGAATTTTCGCAGCCCATTGGAGTGAGCAGCTGACTTGGCCAAGTGGCTAAGTTAGTACCTAACAGGGTGCATAATTAGCTTTCAAAAGGATGCCAAGCAGTGTTCCCTGTAATCTGTATGCTTGTATGGCCATTTAGAGAGATTTAAATATCACCCAGCTGATTAACAGTGTTTCTGTAGTTCTACTGGTGGTGCACATGCCTTGGTGCACATAAGACTTTATTCCGCACATGGATGGCGAAAATCTGCATATGGATGGAAAAGTTGGAGGAAACAATGCTGTCAAGGTACATAAGAGTTTTGTGTGCCTAAAAATGCGTACACCTGGTTCTTGTGTTTTGTGAGTACAGCCTAGTGTATGAGCAAATTGGGCAGGGATATGGCTGAGCAGATTGTGTGACCTGAAATAAATGCATGTTCAGGACACACCTCACTGGTTAGGTTCTCTTCCCGGTGCCTTTCTGGCGACAGGGAGCACTATAGGGGCTGCCTAGGGAGACCCTAGGGTGCAGGCTTTGGTCTTGGATTAAGGGATCTGGAGTCTGAGGGACTCTGACCTGAGCGAGGGGCAGGCAGTTGGGATGTAGGAGGTTCTAGGTGTAGGCTAGATTTTAGAAAAGAGGAGACTGAGGGGGAATATGATAGAGGTCTATAAAATCATGAGTAGTGTGGAGAGGGCGGATAAAGAAAAGTTATTTATTAGTTCCCATAATAGAAGAACTAGAGGTCACCAAATGCAGTTAATGGGTAGCAGGTTTAAAACAAATAAAAGAAAGTTCTTCACAGTGTGTCGTCAATCTGTGGAACTCCTTGCCAGAGGAGGCTGTGAAGGCTAGGACTATAACAGAGTTTAAAGAGAAGCTAGATATTTTCATGGAGGTTAGGCCCATAAAAGGCTATTAGCCAGGGGATAGAAATGGTGTCCCTGGCCTCTGTTTGTCAGAGGCTGGAGAAGGATGGCAGGAGACAAATCACTTGATCATTGTCTTCGGTCCACCCTCTCTGGGGCACCTGGTGCTGGCCACTGTCAGTAGACAGGATACTGGGGTAGATGGACCTTTGGTCTGACCCAGTACGGCCGTTCTTATGTCCTGGTTAGCAACAGTCACTCCAAGTCCTTTTGCTTCCTTGGAGAGTTGCAAATTGAAGTGTCAGCAGAGGAGGTTTTGGAACAAATGGATAAACTGAAGAGTACTAAGTACCTGGGACCAGACGGCATTCCCCCAAGAGTTCTGAAGGGACTCCCGCATGAATCTGCAGAATTACTGACACTGCTTTGTAACCTCTCCTTCAAATCAACTTCTGTGCCAAATGACTAGCTAATGAGATGCCCGTTTTTAAAAGGGGCTCTGGAGCAGGGTTCCCTGGAGCCTGGCTCCTGTCCCAGCATGAGCGTGGCCCAGCCCCTGGGAGCAGCTGGGGCCACGTCTGCTTGGCGGCTGGCGGGGCCAGGACCATGGTACATAGTCCTTCGCTAGTGCCGTAACTATGGGATCATCTTTCCACTGACTGGGAGTTTCCTAATGGAAGTGCAGTAAAATACTCATCTAATGCTCTAGCAGCAGCTCACAAAAGGCAGAGAAGGGGAAAGAAGGAAGGAGATTATCGCTGTCCAGGGCATGCAGTGTGGGAAGACCAAGCCCAAATATCCCTTTGTTGGAATATACAGATGACATCTGCATCACTGTGGTAAGACTTGATATTTGTAGCAGTTCCCTGGGCATTGTCATGACCAACTGGCAGGATGTACCCAAATTATCCCTTGAGGCCTAGCGAAATAAGACTGGATTCAACCACCTTGACGCCACTGGTTCCCAGGGCCACACAGCAGAAAGGAGCTACGTGGAGCAGGTTAGCATGGCTGGGGTGGCCCCGACATACGCATGAAAAAGCGGTAGAGGGGAAAATCAGGCAGTAATCTGTTCTGTTTCACAAATCCTAGCCTTGGCCCGATTAGTATTACTAATGTGCAGAGAGACTGCAGTACAAAGGCCAACATGGGTCAGCCCGCTCTGAACTTCATCCACCCTCTGTGTTTGCAGCATCATTTTCTTGTGGTTGCATTTGTCTGGCAGGTCACATCCCACTCCCGGCGTGTTCCTGTAGGGGTCCCCATTGTACTGTAAGTTGAGGTAAATCATTTGAGACTCCTCCTTAGCAACCCAGGCTGAGAAAGGGGTGGCTGCTTCAGAGTTCAGTGTAAACAGCCATTAATTACCGTGGCAGCAATTGAATCTGGTCCTTTGACTACTTTCTGGACCTGATTCTGCTCTCTCTGAATTCCAGTGAAGCAAGGCCTATTAGAATGAATCCTTATTAACCCTGGGGGAGCTGGAATAATCCCTGACTCACAGTTTGGTGGCTTGGTTGAACTCGGTGCATCCTGCAGAAGAGACACCCACAGCAGACTGACAATTATGGCTGCACCTAGATGCCCCAATCAAGACTGAGGTCCCGCAGTGCAAGATGCTCTAAAGTACGGCCCCTTAAAGCAGTGTTTCTTAAGATTTTTTTATTGAGCAAAAAAAAAAAAAAGTCACCTGCCCCTTTAAGGGTGGCCATTTTGAATTCTGATTGCCGCGGCACAGAACACAGTTTAAGAAACACTGCCTTAAAGGGAAGTCAGTCCAGCCTCAAAGAGCTTATAGTCTCAGTGCACCAGACAGACAGATGGTGGGAGGGAAACAAGCACAGAGAAGAGAAGTGACCAGGATTGGAGAATGAATTAGGAACAGAATCTAGGACTCCTGCGGCCCAGTCATGGTTCCAGTCCATCGGCCCTACTGCCAGCGTTAAGGCTCTGCACATGTGTTAGCCACCACAGAAGAGATTCGTTGAGTGCAAGAGTCCACAAAATAAATGTGGAGCCTGCATCCTCTGGTCACCAATGTTGCACCCCACCTTTCTGAGCATTATGAAGGTTCTTGCAGGGCAAATAGGTATTTTCAGTGTCCATAGTTTTCTTAAAATCGACCAAAACAAAATTCTCAGCTTTCTTGTCATAGCTGCTGCTTTCTGGGGACTGCAAGTTGATAACCTTTCTGTGACTGACTGGGTTTATCAGAAGGCAGGTCTTTAGAGTATGAAGGACTTCAAGGGATCTGTGATTCATCCCATTCTTGTCCTTCTAGTTCATTTCACTCTACCTCTTCTCCCCGTTCCCCAAAGCGTTACGGTCCCAATCCTGCCATCAAAGCCACGGGGGGACACTCTAGTTCTCATTGTGAGACTTGGGCCATGGTAGGCTAGCTTATGCAACTCACTCATTGCTTTGGGTGGAGAAGAATCTCAAACACAAATGAAAATTAAGACTCTTGTAAATGCCCATCCTTCAGCAAAAAATTAGAGAAAGGTTCAGATGTGCCTCCCTGCTCCAGACTTGTCCAATTGTAGAGAACTGGATTTCACTTGTGGTTTCAGAGTTGAATTCTTCACCCACACAAAGTTCAGAGATGTCCAGGTCTGAGGTTTTGCTTTAGGCAACTACTTAAATGTTGAGGTTCACAAAAAGTTTGGCCGTGAATACTTTGTATGATGACTGTCAGATTGTGATTTCCTCATTTTTTTATTATTCATTCTGTTCATCTTTTCCCCATCTTTTACTAATGGGTGAATTACGAATTGTTCACAGTGCACATTTAATATTGGATATTTAAAGGTGGAGCCATGTAATTAAGGCTAGGTCTACACTATAGGTTTTTTTCGGAAAAAGTTTTACAAATTGCACTCCGCAATTTGCATAGCTTTTTCTGATCACTTTTCTGGAAGACTCTTTTCCACCATTTGGCCCAGTCTAGACGGGGCCAAATGGCGGAAAAGCCACCTCCTTTCAGCGGAGCCCTTATCCCTCATAGAACGAGGGATGCAGGGCACCCTGAAAGAGCATGTTTGCTTTTCCACAAAAAAAAAAAGCAGAAGAGCAAATGCGTTGGACACGGAAGAATTTTTCTAGGCGGTATCCCGGAAAAGCCCTGCAGTGTAAAAGTATCCTAAGTCATGACTGGTCAGAGAAGTTAAATAGTATTGTTTCTGTGCCCTGGTTAGATGAACATTTAAGTACTTCCAGCACAAATACTGACACATCCAGTTAACTTTTCACATCCCCAGTAGAGAATGTCTATAAGTATTAAGCCTTTGAAGGGCATAAGACAGTTCAAGCTTTGTTATCCAGCATGCCTGGTGAAGGGAGGTTGCCGATGAATCAAATTTGCTGGTTACTCGACCTTTACACCGATGGTTCACGAATTTTTCACTGTACACCAGCCATCATTTCAGGATGGGTTAGATAACATCCGCTAATGGTATTATACACAGAAGCACGACACAAACTTTTCTGCCACAAATTTGCAAACTTGATTTCTGCAAGTGCTGGAAAATGTTGAACAATGATGCTACATGGCTATCGTAATTTTTCTGGATAACTGAATTGTATTGCCATCTGTGACATACCCATGTTTTCTGGATATTAAAGTACCGGATACCACAGCTTGTACTGTGCACCTGAATGCAGGGGGAAGACTGCCTTACTACACCTGTCTCGGACACAAACGCAACTATCCAGAGTGCAGTGCAGGTCGGGTTATAGACCTGCATAGAAAACCTCTCTCCCCCGACTAGCTGCCTCTGCTGGCTGTGCCTTGTGCCTTGCCTTTCCACTTCCCAGAACTGGAGCCAGATTACTGCTGCTCCCTGTGCTGGGAATTCTGTACCTTTTCCCTTTCTACTGTTATCATTTGGCATCATTTTTAAAAGAAGCATAAATCAGCCCAAATAATTCCTCTTTTAAGATGGTGCGGAAAGACGATTCTAGCTAGAAAACGTAGAAAAATCCAGCACTGTGTGGATTAAGAGGAGGAACGACTTTGCTATCTAGAAGTGTATGACTAACCCAGGCAAAGCTAATTAAGTTATGATGAAGTATTTAAATTGAACTACCCAGAGATAAGAAAGTGTATTTGCCTCTTATTGTTATTGCAAGACAATAATGAGCTGCGTTTT